TCTGCACCATTCTCAAGTTCGGAGATGCTGGGACGAATGGAGTGGCCAGGAGTGCCCCCCCAAAAAAAAATAATACAATGTAATAAAAAACTTTCTTAACCGTTCTTAACCACCAACCAAGTCAAGGCCAACTCACCGCGAGGGAACAGGAGAATCACATCGAATAGATGCAAAAATATGTCTACAGATTTAAGTAACAGAGAGAGAGAGAGAGAGGCCCTGTACTGGGAGCACCCACAACAATCAAAGGCAAGCTACAAGTGTTGCTCACCCGTGAAACGGCTGTGGCCACAATGCGGGCCGACAGCCCACCCTCCAAATACATCCGTTGCCACCATGATCCCAACTGGACTGGGCCCCGAACGAGCATCACGCGCTTTCAGCGCAAGCCCTTTCATTTGCTCGGCCCAGGACGACTCGATCTTGGGGCAAACCTCAGGCGCCGGCGCCGCGCCGGACAGGGTGTCTTCAAAAGGGTCAATCCACCAGGAATAGTATTGTAAACCAGCTCCGCACTCTGCGCAGCCAAAAGCAGATTGCATGTTCGCTCATTTTGGTTCAAGCCCGACACCAACACAAACATGTCACGCGACATGCGGCAAATTCCGAGCTGAATTAGGGAGAATTTGCAAGTTCTTTGACACATGCTGTGTGGGTAAGGGATCAAAAAATTACACCAGCATAATAGACCCAGATAGCTGGGCAGAATCCCACGACCTGTTGACATGCGACTGGCTGGAACAAGAATGTGCGCAGCCTGCACAGCCGGCTTACGGCACCTCCACAGCGCGCGATCAGCTGACACCAGCACCGGTGCGCTTTGGTATTTTTCACTAGAGTTGTACATACACTTGTACCCTACTGCGTCGTATTTGGCTCAAGGCAAAACTGGTGCTTATAGGCTGTTTTCTATCTCAAATAATAAGATTAGGGTTCCGGGTTTTGACCCAGCCATGTAGCGGTCCTTGAGGGGGTTCCGTTGCGGTCTCGCCAATAGCTCGGACGTGGTATGTCATGGCTTCCACGGAGTACAGTGGGATTCCACCGCTAATGGAATCGCTGGTGCCGGCGAAGCCGCAGCTCCAGCTGCGCCAGCACCCGACCAGCGCCGCCGCCCGTCCGCGCGCTCAGCCAGCTCACAGCACCAGCACCCAGGACCACAGCACCAGCACCGACACCCTGTCGAAAGCGCGCGCAGCCAGCTCATTCTTATTTGCAGCAAGAAGCCCCATAGCTATCCCTATTTGGGGAATAACAACGTATGATCTTGCACGTATAAGTTTATGCGCACAAAAGTATGCGCGCTAACGGCAAAGCCCATAAGTGTCATTGGCCCAAGGCCAAGCAGTATCCAGCGCCACTGTTGACTTTGTAGCATGCTTGAAGCAACGACCTGCAGAATGATAAGGCCGTGTGATCTTGCGCGTACAAGTTTATGCGCACAAAAGTATGCGCACAAACGGCAAAGCCCGTAGGCTTCACTCGCCCAAGGCCAAGCAGCATCCAGCACGACTATTGTGTGTGTAGCATGCTGAAACACGCTGAAACAATGGTCGGTTGAGAGCCTGACGTTGCGCATAGAACATTATACGTACAAAAGTATGCGTGCAAATAATACAGCCCTTGACACAGCTGTCGGCCAAAACAGAACCTGAAGTACATACCCCACAGCGCTAATAGACAAAGAACGCTCAAGCGACAACACCGTATGATGTTGCGTGCATAAGTTCATGCGGCCCATGACTGCTGGCACTTCATTGTCAGAAGCGGTGCTTGGTCGCCCTTCACTGCTGCAAGCGGCGGTTCGTTACCCTTCACTGTCAGAACCGGCGCTTTTTATAACTTCACTGTCAGAAGCGGGCACCAGCACCAAGCACCGGCATGCCAGCTCACGGCGCCGAGCACCAGCACCCAGCGCCCCCCAGCACCCGGCACCCTGTCTCCACCACATGCAAAGCCAGCACCCAGCACCAGCGCCCAGTCTCCACCACGCGCACTGCCAGCTCACACCACCAGCGCCGGCGCCCGCTGTCTCTACCAACCGGCACCGTGTCTCCAGCACCAGCACCACAGCCCGCACCAGCACCCGGCACCGGCACCCAGCAGTGGCACCACACGAACAGCCAGCACCAGCACCACAGCCAGCACCAGCACCCGGCACCGGCGCCCAGCACCGGCACCCTGTCTCGAAAGGCGCGCAGCCAGTTCATTGTCATTTGAAGGAAAAAAAAAAGCTGCCGCTAGGCGCACAGCCAGCACCCAGCACCAGCACCGGCACCCTGTCTCCACCACGTGCACAGCCAGCTCCAGCACCAGCGCCGGCACCGGCACCCAGCACCACCACCAGCACCAGCAACCTGTCTCCACCACGTGCACAGCCAGCTCACAGCAGACCCGCCCGGCACCCAGCACCAGCACCAGCAACCTGTCTCCACCACGTGCACAGCCAGCTCACAGCACCAGCACCAGCACCGGCACCCGGCACCCAGCACCAGCACCGGCAGCACAGCCAGCTCACAGCACCAGCGCCAGCACCGGCACCAGCACCGGCGCCCAGCACCAGCAACCTGTCTCGAAAGTGCACGGGCAACTCATTGTTAGTTGAAGTAAGAACACCATAGCTTCGCTATCTGGTGAATAAAAGGAAATCAAAAAAATTATTCAACAGCGATCAATAAAACATAAAAATATTCTAGCGATTCTAGCCCCACAGACAGGGGCGCGGCCAAGACCAGGGCAAGAGGAGGACAATCTGCAAATGCGATGGGCGACCCTTTACAATTTACAAATCGTGGCAGGCGCAGTGCAGAGTGCAAATTTCGTGGTGCTGGAGGGGGGTTGGGGGGGGAGGGCGCAGCGCCTCCCCTCCAAAGCGAACCAAACGCTAAAACACAGCACCACAAAAGAAATCACTAGAAACTATGTACCCGATCGCCCTTTCAGTGAAGGGCATCTAAAAGTGCACAAAAGGACCTAAGGCAACCGAAGCTAAAAGCATTGTACGTTTTGCAAGAAAACTGCGGCCAATAAGCTACAAGAGAAAGGACCAAAGGCATCAAAAAGCATCAGTGAAAGAACAAGGAGAAAACCATAGAAAACCCGCAGACCAGAGGACCAGGAGGGCAAAGGACCAGGAGACCACGGGACCGGACCAGGACCAAAGGACCAGGGGGCCAAAGAGTGTGTGGATGAGAGGACCAAGGGACCAAGCGATCAGGAGAGCAAAGGACCAGTGGACCAGCAGACCAAAGGACCAGAGGACCCGCAGACCGCAGGGCCAGGAGAGCAGCAGAAGAGGCCTATCAAGGAATATGTGTTTTGATACTTTATTTGTTTGTGCTACTCTTTATATTATTGTGTTTTAATTTTTTGTTGATCTAGATGCCATGCCGTGCACAGCACAAGTGGCATTTCCAACACAAGTCGCGTCTCGCGCAGATCTTGCAATAATTCTGCGGCCGTCTGAGGCTATATATATATATATTTTTTTTGTCTGCCTTCCTCACTCCCTTCCTTCCTTCCTTCCCTCTTTTCCCTGCGTTCTTCCTTCCTCTTCCTGAGGGAGGGAGAAAGGGAGCAAGGGAGCGAGAGGGAGCGAGAGCGAGCAAGAGAGAAAGAGAGAGAGAGAGAGAGAGATCTGAAGGAAGGTGCTGTCCAAAATGCTCAACGCAATTCAATCTTCCTACAGTAGAACCCTCATGCAACGGGATTTGTTCACAAGGGGACGGAAACCTGTTTCCGCCTTGCAAAGGCAAAGCGTTTGTCACGATCTGCGAAGTCTGCTAAGCAGCAACAGGGAAAAAGCGCAGAAGCTGAAGAGATGCCTTCACTGTTGTCCAAGAGCCTCACATCCTCCATGAACATCTTCACTTTGGCCTGCCACAGAACCCTCGAACGTGGCTCCCAACATTCTTCCCGGTGCACTTTTCGTGTACCCTTTCTCACCCACGGCGGAATCGCCAGGCCGCCAGGACACAGGAAGAGGGAACTTTGTTCCATCTGGACAATTTTAAGGTAAGTTTCGACATTGTGCTTCGGCAGCCAAATAGGATCTCAGCACGCAGCATACAAGCTTCCAGCAACATACTCAGAGCGGCCTGCGCTCCTGGTATGATGGCACATTACCACGGATCAACAAAACAAAACCAACCAGCTTTTGCAATGCTCTACTGAACCTGTCGCGGTTGCCCAGACTCTCAGAAGCTTGGCCGTCTGGCGAAGTACGGCAACACAAGTGCAAAAGCCTTTCCAGACCCAGCCTTTGTCAGGCAAAGTTGATAAAAAGTGGACACACCGACAACACCCCGATTCAACGCGCTGTCGGAGTGTTTGTTGCGTTTCACAGGTCTTGTCCCCAAACCTAGGCCAACACCTAAACACTCCAATTCAGACGCCTTTTCGCGTCTGCAGGGGACACATTTAGGAACTATCCTGCAAGGAAGCCACCTCCATATTCCCTCTGTCTTTCCATGGGAAGATGGAACTGAGCTTGGAAGGCATGTGCTCAGGATCAGGACAGCGGATCAACAAAACAAAATCAACCAGCTTTGCTTGTCAGTTTTCAAGCTGCCTGACTTGAAATGATGATGCAATGCTTGACCGAACCTGTCGCGGTTGCCCAGACTCTCAGAAGCTTGGCAATCTGTCAAAGTACGGCAACACAAGTGCAAAAGCCTTTCCAGACCCAGCCTTTGTCAGGCAAAGCTGATAAAAAGTGGCTGGTATGTGGAACACACCGACAACACCCCGATTCAACGTGCTGTCGGAGTGTTTGTTGCGTTTCGCAGGCCTTGTCCCCAAACCTAGGCCAACGCCTAAACGCTCCAATTCAGACGCCTTTTGGCGTCTGCAGGGGGCACATTTGGGAACTATCCTGCAAGGAAGCCACCTCCATATACATATATTATATATATATCATGTTTTGCAGCTCGTGACCGCGGCACACTCAATAACACGATCGCACGTTGCGAAGAGAACTTGCTCAAACGACATAAAATTCCCAAGATTAACGAAGCTGGCTCCCTGGTTCATTTGAAAGTGAATTTTCCTCATACTGCAGTCTTTGTACATATTGCACCTGCTTGGATCTGCCTACACCAGCGCAGATTTGTTCACGTCTACATCTTGCGCAGGCTCCTCTCACGGTTTCCAACAGCTTTGCCCACACTTGGAAAGAATCAATCAAACACCTAAAAGCAACAGAACTTCCAAAGCCCACATCATCTTCTCCGATTGTTCCTATTCCTTCAATCGCACGCAATCGCATGAAAGCCTTCTCTCTCTCCGATCTCCACGTCGCCTCCGCTGGCATGGCATGCCCCGCCGCGGCTGGCGTGGACGGCACCTGAGCGGAGGTGGGTCCAAAACCACGATCCAGCTGATGGCTGACTCGGCAGTGCCCACTGTCCCCGCCCGGTGCCCCACAGGACCGCGCGTCCTACCGTCCCACCTTGACCACTTTGGCGGTGAAGGCCTTGGAACTCACCCGGCTGGAGGACACCGTAGTCGGCCTGCAACTGGCGTCCTTCGTGCTGACCACCTGCCAAAAACAAAAGCAACAACGACCTCTCCACGATCCAAGGGTGTGTTCAATGTTTGTGGGCCTTGGTTTGGTCAGGATTTGCGATTTTGTGTCCAGTGCCTCACTGCTAAGGACCGACATGCCCAAGAGCAAGTGCTTCAAATCGTAGATTCCGAGCGTTCCCAACTTGTCCTTCAGCTCCTGAGCAGGCAGCAAGGCCAGATCTCATGAACCAACTACTAAGGAAACTAAGGAAACCAAAACCGGCCGACGAGGGACACATTGCCAGGCCTTCTCAACCAAGGCCACCGTACAGGGCTAAAGGAGAAAGCAAAACCAGAAACAGCTGTTGCGGTGATACCAAGTAAGGAACAGGCACCGACAACGGGGATTTCCAAAATGCGGCGTCCGCAATGAGAAGAAATTCCACCACTTTGCAGCCAAACGGATCTGCACCCCCAGTTGGTTTACGGTGGAGCGATTGGGTTCGCCTGATTTCTGTTCGATAAGGCTAAAGGAGACTGATCATTACATACAGTACAGTATGTTCATCAATACAATTAGGAAAATGCAAATCGCCTTTCAAATTCCTAACCTTTGTGTTTCGTCACGTTTCGTGCCAAACTCTTGCACGCGCGTACCGGCTGGCACGGGCCGTCCTCCACAGTCATGTCGTTGAGAACCGTGATCATTGTATGCAAGTCGCCGGCGATCGATGAAGGCTGCGGGGTTCGGCCAGCAGTCATGATCCACAGCTCCTGGGAGCGGCGGGCGGTCAAAAGAGAACATAATGGTTTTTAAGAATAAGGCATTTTTGTGCGAAGCTGCAATGGCAACAATAGCAGCAGCGGCCCAGAAAAGAATAAAGAAAAGGTTGTAGTAGCAGTAGTTTTCCGTCATGGTGACAGGTAGTGGTAGTGGTGGTGCCCGTGGTAGTGGCAGTGGTCGTGCTAGTGGTAGTGCTAGTGGTAGTGGTAGTGGTGGTGGTGGTAGTAGCAGTAGTAGTAGTAGTGGAAGTGGAAGTGGAAGTGGAAGTGGAAGTGGCGGTGGAAGTGGAAGTGGAAGTGGAAAGGGAAGTGGGAGTGGAAGTGGCAGTGTTGTAGTTGTAGTTGTAGTAGCAGTAGTAGTAGTAGTGGTAGTAGTGGTAGTGGTAGTGGTAGTGGTAGTGGTAGTAGTAGTAGTAGTAGTGGAAGTAGAAGTGGAAGTAGAAGCGGAAGTAGAAGCGGAAGTGGAAGTGGAGGAGTAGTAGTCGTAGTAGTAGTAGCAGTAGTAGGTGGTAGTTAGTGGTAGTTAGTAGTCTTTAGTAGTCGTTAGTAGTAGTTGTAGTTAGTGAAAGTTTGTGAAAGTCAGTAGTAGTTTGTAGTTGGTAAAAGTCAGTGGTAGTCAGTAGTAGTGAGTAGTTAGGTTCTAGTTAGTAGTAGTTTGTAGTAGTTCGTGGTAGGTCGCATCGTCGTCGTCAGAGGCGGCGGCGTTGTCGTCGCAGTCGTCGCAGTCGCAGTCGCGAGTAGGAGTAGGAGTCGTCGTCGTCGTCGTCGTCGTCGCCGCAGGTGGTGGTGGTGGTGGTGGTGGTGGTGGTGGTAGTAGTAGTAGTAGTGGTGGTGGTGGTGGTGGTGGTGGTGGTGGTAGTGGTAGTAGCAGTCGTAGTCGTAGT